TCGCGCCGCCTTGTCAGACTGGAGGAGAGAAGAAAACCCCCACTTGTAAGACAAGGGGAGGCCAGTGGGAAGCTGCGGTATGTTGGGGGAGTAAAGAGAGTCAAGTATGAGCACCTTTAACCCAATCCAGGTACAGGTATTGAGATTGGAGTTGTACTGGTGGTCACCTGAACTCACCTTTAGGACATGCATCCTTCTCACACTAATCTGTACTTTCATAGTATATAAGTAAAGGCACCACATGTGCTTTATGATCAGGGTCTTTTAATGACAAAAGCGATGTTTTGCTGAACTTGTTGTTTACCAGATTTTCTATTTAACATCACCTTTCAGTTTTTAAACCAGCTGTGTGCCTACCTACCTGAATTCAGGAGCCAGGTTGGGCTTCAGGCCATAGAAAGCAGCCGATAAGGTCAAAAGCCAACGGGGAACAAAATTCCCATTTTCACACTCCAGGTAGGGGGCAGACCACTTGACATGCGTCTTGTCCGGGATAAAACTCTCTCCTCTTTTTAAAGAATTGTCAACTGATCTAAAATCTTGGCTGAGCACCCTCTTATGGAAACTGGGCTTCTTCTTGTCTTTGACATCGTGGTACCACTCTGTGTCTGCGGTGCGGTTGTGCAGATGATGGTGGGCCATGCTGGAGAGGTCTTGGAGGACTATCTCTCCGCCGGCCCTGGTGGCTTGGAGGAGCACCGAGGGCCGCGCCACGGACGTATCTGCGCTAAAAGTGACAACCGCCCGGTGGATCTTGGCGTCCCCCTCCAGTATACTCCTGACTAAGGCATGGTACCACTCAATGTCTCGCCGGAGACTCTGCTCCCTGGACCTGTTGGCTTGCAGGATCATGTTGAGGAAGTTTGTGGCGTGCAGCACCGTATCCAGCACGCTGTTCATGGAGTAATGCGGGACGGCTTGTGACCTTCCCCGCAGAGAGGTGAGCTCGTACTTCCGCGAGCAGTTGGCGTGCTTTAAGGTGGTCGAGTCCCCCGTGTGAAGAAAAGCCGTGACCACCCTGGGGAGATGCTCCTCTGCTTTCTGCGGCAGCTCCGCCGTCTCCCCAGCGCGGAGATGCGCCAGCTGCCGACGGTGCGTCTGAGCGCCGTAGATCGGCTCCTGTGCTCTCATATCTCCTCCATGCGCTGACCATTCCGCGTATTTATGGTTTGATCCGATCACAAATCCCACTTGCAGCAGCAACGACAGCCGGAAAACAGCCATCTCCCTCCAGGAAAGCGTCCACAGATGTTTGAGGGGGGGATTGCTGCTCGGAATTACAGTGTCGTTGGGCGTGCGTGCTGTAAAGAAAAAAATCCAACCAAATTGCTCCGCTAAACCATCGCTTCACCACTTGTAGGATATTCTTGCAAGCTCCACGCCTCTGTTTCTTGTAATCAAAAAGCAGAGGAAGAGGGAGGGGGGGACGTAAGGAACCCCCTCGCTGTCCTCGCCGAATCCCTTCTTCTTCTTTACAGATGCCTCATACAGCTTGTTGATGTTGAGTATCCGCTTGCAGCTGTTTCCCCCCACCTCTCTCTCCCTCACTGTAGACAAGACTGTCTTGCCTTTGCCGTGCGGCGGACGTTCTCCCTGTGCGCGTAGGCTACATAGACTGAATCAAACCGAGGAGGAAGGGAGGGGTAAAAGGGGGCAGGTTATTATTATATTTATATATTTTTTATAGGCACCGAGTCAGGGAGCTTCTCACTTGGATGACAAACGCACTCCGCCCCCTTCCGACCACAACAAGCATTAAGTAGGCCTACATCAGGAGCTGTGCGCCCTTAAAGCCCGTCTTCTCCATCATCGCATAGGGCTCCAGAAGCGCCATTGATCCGCGTTTGGCCGCTTCTTCTGTCAATCACAGCGAAGCGTTTCGGTGGCGCGGAGAGAGAGCTGTCCGGTGCTGAAACGGATGAAGCGCTTAGGGAGCTGTCCGGTGCTGAAACTGATCAGTGTGGCTGATTTATCCAAATTAAGTCCTTAATTAAGATCCCTGATACACATTTGTTCTCATTACCAGCAGTCGAAAAAAGATTTATTAAATCCACTTTAAAGTGAAAACAATATGGAATAAACAAATTCTCTGATGATATTTAGGTGGGGGGGGGGGTCTGTTTGTGCATGAAGATTGGTTGAAATATCATCCTGAGGATTTATTTTATTTTATTTATATGTTTATTTATTTTGTTTTATTTCTGTTTTCTGTTGATGTCTTTTGGGTCCAACAGTTCCAATGGGATTCAATACAAAACAGGAAATAAAAGTTAAAATAAGCAGGTTTTTGCTGCTTCTTTGTCAATAAGATATTTGATTAAAGACAGTATACACACTGTATGGCTGTGTAAGATGTGTATACTTTGGACTAGACTCCTTAAATTAAATTAAATCAACTGAAAATAAGTAGCCGAATTCTCTATAACATTAAATGTTCATGATTATAAGCAAAAAAATAATTTAAAAAATTGAAAAGCCCTCTTCAGGTGTTATTTATTTAAATAAAGGGTATTTATTTATTTTTGTGCTTCATCAGGACTGTTTGGGTGTAGTTTGATTACATTTGATTAATAGTGACCAAACCCCCCAACTGTCATCAGAGTCAGATTCAAATCCTGATTGGTGCTTGGAAGTACGTGACATCACCCTTTTTCTAACTAAGCCCCGCTGACAGAAAGTGCCCTGTTCTAACTTTGCCTTAAAATAGTGTGTTTCAGGGCCTTTAAAGGAGACCATAATGCTACAGCATACAGTGATATATTAGACAATGGTGTGCTTTTATGTCGCAACTCTTTCCTGTTTCTGCCTGACAATGCCCTCGTGCACAAAGCACTGTCTATAAAGAAATGACTTGACCTCAACCCCTTCCAACACTACCAGTCAGAGCTCACCCAACATCAGCGACCAACATCCTGTGGCTTAATGGGAGCAAACCCCTGCAGCCAGGTTCCAAAATCTTGTGAAAAGACTTAACCCTAACACTAACCCAGAGTGAGTGCAGGCAACATATTAATGTCCAATGGTTTTGAGATGAGTCCACATACTTTATTTGGGAGTCCACAAACTTTCGCCCATATATGCAAGCTCAAGTTCACTTTCTCTTTTGTAAGCAAAAACAGTCCAGCGGCAAACTTCATAGATATCCTTTGGGCTCCTCCATGTATACACACTAAAAACTATCCATGGTACTGTGTCTTTTTATTTTTTTGCGAAAGTAAAACAATAGTCTGAGATGAAACTGGGCGACCATTTCCCCAAACCTACAGGGTCTATTGGTTTGGAAATTCGGTCATGCCTTCCCTTCAACCTTGACATGTTTCTAATCAATAAACTCAGTTACAGTTGAGGCAAGCTGTTGCCCCTCCGTGTGTTAGTCAAGCAAACTAAACTGAAGGATTTGGATCTGATCTATTTCTTTACTTTGTCAGCAAACTATCAGTCTCTCTCTTTCTTATTAGTTCAAGCTCTAAGGTTGCTCTCTCCCTCTCTCTCTACTGGGTGTAGGGGCATGTCACGTCACGCTGTGTGAGCTAGAGGCATCTCGTCCTGGAAGGAGGGTGAGGAAGACAGGCGTGACCAAGGGTGACAGAGCTGAGAGTCGGGCTACGTGCTGCACAGGCCATCGGGGATGCTGGAAGTCTGAACCTGAAGACCTTGTGGATTATCTTGACCAACATTTATACAGCTGCATCCGAGACTGCTTGCTCGTCCTGTCTAGAAATCTTGACATCTGCAAGCAAATGACAGGAAATCCAGCAACTGCCAGAAATTCATGCTGCACATACTCAGTATGGCAAAATGGCTGTATTTTTTACACTGTGGAGAACATTTTTTTTTTATTTAGTCAAGCTTGTCTGTCCATACTTTGCAAATGATCCTATTAATCAAGGTTTGTGTGCTTAATAAATCTTTTTCTGTGGTTTACAATAAATATTTATGATTGTATCTGTGCCTGGGACAGAACCTTTCCTAACATTAAAAGAAATATTTCTTTCCTTTCTTTTTCCATTTTGATGTTGGTGCCACCGAAATGCTACAGAGAGCGAAATTGAAGCAAAGAAAAAAAAACATCAGTCACAGTGATGATGATGGTGACGAAGGTGTACATTGCACCTTCTTTGGAAGGTGTGAGCCATCTGCATGGGCAGTGGGTTCTTAATGTTAATGTGCTGCCAGCCGGAGATCCATGATACATCTTCAACACCAGTTCCTGATTTGGACAGTTTGGAATAATGTGACATTTGAACAGTATGAAAATCTGATTGTTTTTTTTGTCCTATTTGACAGTTTTGATCCGGGCTTCAACGTTTCAGAAGTCCCCCTGCTTTTGAACCCTATTTGCAGGATTTTCAGGGCACCAACTAAAGCTATGCATTATCAGGTTACATTCATATAATATGTTGAAATGACTTTTCAAGGCCTGTGAATGGTGTTCAAATGATTTGTGTTGATGCAGCTTTAGAGGAAACCCAAATCAATCATATTGCTCAGAGATTTAACCAGTAATTCAACTGTAATCCTTTACCAATTTAATTCATAAAACCCAAGTCAGTCATCATTGTGACACTGAAGTGTTTCATTTTTCCACAGGTTTGCAGAAATAGTGCAAAAAAACAAACTACTGTTTACAATATATCTGTAAAGAAACAGCAAGATATTTACTAATCAATAAATGTTTTATTGCTTACTCTGACAATGAAAGAAATGTCACTGTAAAATTGTGGTTAAAGTTGTATTTTGTACTGTTAGTGAGACTAGTTGATGGTTTAACAGCAACTTTGATATAAGTTGCCTAATAAGAGGCATTGTACTCAACACACTAATGATAACAGGATATTATTGGCCTTGCAGCATGGTACACATGGGGCATGTGTATGCATTCGTTACTAGACGTGTATCAGAACAGCAGCTGGATTTGATTGTCAGCTTCTAAGCAAGTCAGTTTCTGCACAAAAACAGCAAACAAAGGAAACAATTTGATATAAAACACAAGACTTTATTGTCATTTGTAAAATGGTAAATTAGAGAACACCTCCAATTGAACTGAACTCATCATCATCCGTAAAAAAAAAGACGACATGAATATTACAATGAATAACTTACAAAGTACAGTAATCTGTTCTTCCATAAATATTATGGCAAAAGGCTTCACTGAATCACATTTTTCGATACTTATGGGGTTAGATAAATTCCAAAAAGGGAAGTTTTTGCTTTAAACGGTCATTGATCATTTTCAAAGTAATCTTTCTGTAAATTTACCCAATAGTCATAACTAGCTACACAAGATCAGCATTGTAGCAGTGGTCATATTTTGCTGATTTTTATAATCTTATCTTCATTTTTTTTTTCAGCTGAGCGATATGTACATAATGTCAGAGCTACGGGAACAAAAATAAGGCCATGAAGCATCCCAATAAAAACGACGAGAAAGAAGATCTTGAAAAATGTTCTGAATGTGTGAAATTTGGACGCGGCCAACACTGAAACCCCTAAAATGGTGGACAACGCCCCTTGAATTATGGGGTAGCCTAAACTGGAGAGAGCGTCCACAGCCTTGTCATTAGCAGTCGGTTTCTTGCTTGAGACAAAGACGTAAGACATGTGAGCAGAGAAATCGACAGTGAAGCCGATGCAGACGGTGAAAATGATCATGGATATGGAATCGAGAGTGATGTCCCATAGCACCATGATACCAGTTACCCCAACAATCACTGAACCAATCGAACAAGTCACCAATAATGAGCAGAGATGGTTTGGAATCAGCAGGAGAGAGACGACCAACATCACGGCTGTGATCACGCCAATGTTTTTAATCGTGCTACTGACTACTACGCCGTACTGGTCGTAGAAGATGAATTTGTGGTTATAGACTAATAAAGATGCTGCATGGCATCTGCCCACAGTGGTTTTAAAACCATCAAGCATTTGAATTTCCATGCTGGCATTGGCAATATCAACAGTCTGAATGAAGGACCGGGATGCATGGATGGCATCTCCAGAGAGGTTCACGTCTTGCTTAAAATAAGGAAATAAATCAAAAAAATGTGATATATTTTTGAGAAACACATCTTTATCATCAAGGTTTAAATGTGTTTCTTGTCCATATGACATATACGAGTCCAGCCAGGATGTATACATATCCTCATGTACAAATTGGAGCCTTTTAAAGTTCTCCATACATCCCTGAAGTTGGTGCCTCTTGGTCTTATTCCAATATGGGAATTTTTCACTTACAATAACCATCACAGATGGACCATAATCAGAAAAATACTGTCTATCCTTACGGTTGAATTTTGTAACGTGGGAGTTATCAGCTGCCAGATCATACAGCTCAATCCCCTGTTGTATGTGGAAGCATTTATAAATACTTGCAACTAAATATACCACATAAAGGATGATTACAACTCCCTTGACCCAGGCTTTGATCAAAAACGGGCCGTAGTAATCCTTAAAGAAATTACTCGCTAGCTGTTTTTTCTCTGCTCCAGTGTCCTTATCATAGTTGCCTCCCACACAGCAGATGTTATAAACCTCACAATGATGAACTTGTTTGTCTGATGGTACTTTCATGCAGGTCAGCCAGTGCCGGTTGCTGGCTTCTCGCCTCCCATTTAGAGCCAGGAAGGCTCCAAAGAAGGTGATTGTGTAGATGTAACAAAATATGATGGATGTGGTGGTGTACAGGCAGAACCACTGCACTGATGGGAAGTCGGACGTGACGCCTATGGAGAACTTGAGAATGTCGGTCAGGGCGGTGATGGTGATGGACATGATAGCTTCTTTGTAGGAGTGAGCCATCCGCTTTGGCACTGAGTCTTTCACGTTGGTGTGCTGCCAGTCAGACATCATAACAAACATATTGTTGAGACCGATTCCTGTAAGAAAAATTATGTTAGTGATGTAAAATTAACCACAGCTCTGAGTCACTGTATTTTTAATGTAAACCATAAAAAAACATAATAAACTATAATCTTTCCTAAAATATATGAGGAAGTTCAAATTCTGCTCAGTGGTTAACAACTGTGATCACTTTAAATTAATGCAGATTAATTACTTGAATACGGAAGCTGATGAAGATCACAAGTTAATTTATCTTTTATTTATTTCTCGAGATAACAAGATCATTTATCATCAGAAAACAATTTTTATTGTAATTTAAGCCATTCATTTCTTGACAATGTGATTCAATACTGACAATGTATATCAGGAGAAGACTGAGATTTAATAAATGAGTTGCCTGAGATCCCTGCAATATGTCGATTCTTCACATGCCCTTTTTTCTGACTGCTGGTCAGTATGAAAATGAACATTAACTGGCACATTCCATGTCATTCCTCCATGCATTGTCCGTTATGTTGAACCGATGCTTTTGCAAGCATGACGGATGCTTCCTCCTAACCACAACCTAAAACTACTAGAACAGTCTAAAACAAAAAAAGCCTTTTCTTACCGAGTATTAGGAAAGGAGAGTTTGCGACTGTAATAACAAATGGCACTCCAATGTAAAGCAGCAGGCCAAAGGAGGAGAGAACAGCCAGGCCAGAGGATAAGACGCCAAAGATAGCCACCCAAATCTTGTTCCTAACGTTGTCCGATCTGTCAAGGAGGTAAAGAAAAGGTTGTTCTAGCAGAATCATGCAACTAATAAAGTTAACAATATACTGTAAGAAAGGTCTAACTTCAATCCAAGAAGCCGCACAATAATCTAGTATATGTTGGATATTTGTAGCAGCACAGATGCATGCATTTTATCAGCAAATACTAAAATGTGCACATAATTTATTTGTACAGTAAAACAAAACAAAATCGTTGATTTCAACAAGTAACTTAACACTCGGATGAAGAGCAGTATTTGGTATATTGCACTTTTAAATATACCCAATTTTAGACTCAAACTTTTAAGAAAAATCAGCAATTTAGCATTTTCTCCACTCCCTGTATGACCACAATCTAGCTGTTACAGATATACCTACTCTCAACTACACCTTACAGAAACTAAATATGAAGTAAAACATTTTTAAATTGCAACAACCCTAGTTTGGACACAGCAATGCTGAAATTGTTGTTATCACTGCATGTAACCTGTCTGTGGCTTTCCTGCACCAGTCAATTTGATAAACAACAGCTCTCTGTGTCCTGGACTTGGCCTGCAGTCAAGAAATCGCTCACTCTGTGACAGTCAATGATCATTCTTACCTCAGGCAGGATATGACCGAGAAGGTGATAGCTAAGGCATAAGTAATGAGGAATAAAGGGAAGCCATCTGTGATGTGACTGTCAATCTCCTCCTGCTTGGATTTGGAGGTGTAGTAAGACACCTAGAATACAGCAAAAAGAAGCCAACATGAGCGCTCAAGTCAGACGACATGTGGATTTCACCACAGCGATAAAACCAGTGTGACAGCAAAGCTTGGATATTCAGGACAAAACAATGTGTCTGCACTGTTTCCAACCACTTTATGTCAAAAGGAAGTGTAAAGATACAGTGGGAGCAGACACACTGTAACTAATATGTTTAAAAAATGCCTCTATATGCTTTTTGTATTGCACATTATTATTTAAGATACTTAGCTAATGCTTCTCTTAACATCTCAAGTTCAGCTATGAGACAAAATCCAGCTTTATATACTTTAACGGTGATGCATATTGTCCATTTTGTGGTGCTACTGAATTCCCCAAATGATGATCAAATGCCAGCATTTATTGCATTTAGCTCTACAAATACACACAAATTATCAATTGTGGATCTTTTATGATTAAGATCTATAGTATATAGTATATAATATAGTTTTATACTTAAGATCTTTAATAAAACAAAATGTGAATGAGCATTTCTTCACCAGAATTATATTCATGGTAGTGCAAAAAGGCTTTAAAACAACTTTTAGACAATCCTTTAGGGGATACATTTTTGTGAAAATATTAGTTGACATAAATGACACAAATACCTAAATCTTCACCTTCAATGACTTGGACATGAAAAATATAACATCTTAATAAATAAAGATATTAACAACAAAATTGTTCCAGAAATGCAATGCACTTTTCAATTTTAGTTCAAAGATCATCAAATTTTACCACACAATTGTATCTAATATTAAAAGAATATGGACAGAAAACCCTTGGAACATATTTAAACATTTCATAAAGAATAATGAAAGGAACAATATGTGATACGTACGTCAATGTGTTTTTTGTCCGTCTCTTCTGATAGGACTTTTTTAAATTTTCTCAGCCATAATTTTGAGGCGTTAGTTGTGCTCTCCTTGCTATCTAAGTAGTAGAAGAGTTTTACAGCCTGAGCACTTATGACTGAGCTGTTGGCATCTGTGATAACTTTGCCTAGCACAGAACCCAGAAACACTGAGCTGGATCTGTATGTACACACAGGGAAGATGATGCCGGTTTGATCGGTTTTATTAGAGCGGACGATATCCAGGATGGTGTTTGAGACACATTCTCCATTGTCTCTTGCACACAACTCACTGAAACCTAGTGTCCCATTGTACACAGTGATATTAAGGATCTTATTGTTGAGTCTGATGATGTCCTCAAAGGCAGGATTTGCTAATATATTCGAGTTGTTAGTTGAGACGGCAATGATGGATGCAAAGTAGTCATTGTTGTACAACCTGTCTTCTGAAAACATGGAGTCATTGTAGGGGAAGTTTTCCTTGACAAATGCTCTTGTTGCCTTCGAGGGTCCTTTCCTGGGTGTGAATTGCCGCTCAAAGTCATTGTCCTCCCTGTCTTTGAGAAAAGTGAAGCCTCCGCCAAGTGCCGCTGAGAGTATCAGAGGAACTACAAAGAAATAACAAGGATAGGAGCCTACAAGTGATCCAAGCTTCTCAAAAAAGCCTGACAGAGGCTTTGCGAGGCAGTCTGTGCGTCTGCAGGCCATCTTCAGAATGGCATGACAGTTGGACACATGTGGAGGAATTGCATCTATTTAAATGCTGTGGGCCGGAAGTAGCATTAATAAAAGTGTCTTGGTCATGTAAAGGGTTGATGATTACCCGTAACAACAGTAAAAAAATAAAGAAAAAGGAATTTACTGGTAATCTCATAGATGCTGTAAAATGATAAGAGTGCCCTCCAATGATAAAAGTGACAGTTCCCGGAAACACAATAGACTTTGAAACAACTTACAGATAATCACGGACAAATGAATGATTTTACAATCCAAGTATTCATGAGTGTGTGTTAACTGAGTAACTATATAACTAAATCAGTGTGTATTGTGTCATATGGTAGACTATATGCCAATACTAAGATAAAAACAATGTAATAAAGTAACTGAGAGTTGATTTTCCTTTGTCTGGGATTAAAGTTCAACTCCTGTAATTGTAAAAGAGAGTAACTTGGATGCCAGACAGTTACTACAGCAAATGTTATTGGGTCAATTGTATTCAAGTCCTCCACATAATAGCTGGAGCTTCTTAGAATTAGAAATTATTGTAAGACCTTGAAATTTGACACAGAGCTTAGCATGGCGCATATGTTAGGCTTTGGATAACAAGTTTAGGGTCTAACTCTCTGACTGAATCATGTATCTATTGTTTTAGCAAATACTCCAAGAGAGTGATAAATCTGCCACCATTATAGGTGTAAACTGCTGTACAGGAGCAGGAAGCTTAACAGACGTAGCAGCAGAGGGTCTGGGGTAAGCAAGCAGTCAATTACAAGAATATCTTGGGAATCCAGCAACAGCCGGCCTACATGTAACATTTTAACCTTAAGTTCCAGAGTATATTTGGAGTTGAGAGTCCGAGAGGGTCGGTTTTTACACCTTCAAGCCTGTCGGGCCTTCTCTGGCAGTTAACCCCTGTCAGTCAGCTGTCAATCTGCAGAGTCCTCCGAGACGAGGCTCATATCTCATTTCACACAGATCCATCTCGGGGTCATTGATTTCTCATTCTCCGAGTGAGAAATGGATTCTCTTTCCTTCATCCCTGGGAGGAGAAGATCCTGGCAGACGGTCACCAGAAGCCTGATGGAGGCATAAGTTAAATGTAATCTGTTTCAGGACCATTCAGTTATTTTGTTCACCTTGAATTGAAGCACTGCTTTTTTGTCTGTGTGCTTATCAAAGACTGTTAACAGCAGATAGGTACCGATGCGTATTGTTCAGCCCTGAGCCTGCATCAAAATGCAAATGAGTTCAATCCAATAACAATCATCTTCTGGTGGCGAGCTCCTGTTGACACCTTCATTAGCTCTCTTTTCTCTCCTCCTCTTCCTCACACTTCGCAGAGGTATGTAGGGGTGCAAATCAATGTCTTAGGTAATTAGCAGGGACGCCTCGGGTGAACACGATGTTGAGATGTGTTGGCTGATTGTTTGGCTCTTGCTTCCAGAAAGCAACCATTGATCACGGAAAAAAAGTCCTCACTATGAAATAATACTCTTAATAAGACAGTCTAAAAAAAGCAACTAGACACAAACACACATGTACAGAAGTGTGTTGTCAGATCAGATGACTTGTTTTGGCAGTACAGTAAAAAGTAAAAAATATTTCTAGCATGAAAGGAATATACTAAAGTCAAGTACACAACAGATTTTTTTTACATTAATTGTTTTAAATAAACTGATCGTGTCTGTTTTTGTAAAATCATTAAAATGTCATAAAGATAAAATAATGTAATTTCCCTAAATGGGTTGAAAATGCACCTAACCGCAGCTTAATAATAGCAAAAGGGTACAATACTGTATTTTTTAATAATACTAATGAGGCAGTTAAGCAAATAATTATATTATAAATATATTAGAAGTTATAAAAGGTTATACCATCAACTACAAATGGTATTTATTTTAATGATTCAACAAAAACATGATTACAGGTAAAGTACAAGCATAATTAACACTAACTAAATCCATTTTAGGCTAATTGAGCATTACATTGTGGTATATTTTACTTCAACCGCTTCTCGTCGTGATGATGAAGAAGATTTAATAACCACTAAACCTGCACAATGTGTAATTCAAATTTTTAGATTTTAAGATTTCAAGATTTTAGTTGCAAATTCTCAGTGTGAGTCTCCGTCATCACAGACCCCATGAGGGTGTAGACCAGCATGTGAGTTGGATCAGGACTTGATCCCTCACTGACTTCCCATTTAAATACTCAAAATTGTGTTATTCAAAGCGCATTGGCCAAGGCAGAGCCGCTGCTGCCAAGACTTTAACTTAGGTCTTTGCAGTCGTGGGAGTGTTTTACCTCCACTTCAGAACCAACGGTTAGTGCCAGTATTTCATGCCAACATTTTTAAATGTGACTATTTTGTGTGCCATGACGGACAAGAATGACCTCTTCCCCCTGTAGGCTTTATTCTTGGCAGGGAGGAAAGCCTCTGAAATGACATTTACTTAATAAATGTCCATCATAGGACAGTGCAACTCCACTGAAACCAATGCTAATGACTCTCTTTAAGGATGCAATTCACTTTCTCAATGAAGACATGTTGACTTACTTAGTTTTATGTATTATTTTACATAAATATAATAAGGTAGGGACCTTAATTGTATCGGCAGAGGTTAATATGGCTGCCTAATATATAATTCTTCTATAAATATTCTTCAAAATCTATTAAAATGTGACATTATTCCAATACATCAATAATCTATCAGAACCTTATGGTACAAAAACACAACTTATTTTGGATTGGATTTATTTGGCTGAATTTATTTAATTTACTGCTTGTCAGATCTTGTCACAAGAATTAGGTTAGATTGGCTGAATAGACAGTAGTCTTTTGTATTATTTTAGCAACTTGGGGGTGTTATGCAGCTAAACAAAAATGCACATGGGGCATATTGAGTTAGATTGATATCAAATAAGATAAGATAAGATAAGATATTCCTTTATTTGTCCCACAATGGGGAAATTCCGGTGGGGAAATGTTCTTATATTCAATACATTTTGCCTAATTTTTAAGGATTTATATAACAAATATCAGGATACAGTCAACAATTTTTGAGGATTTTTGTGTGTGTTGAGGAGGTGTTTATTTCTCTGTGTGGTGATGGCTTCAGAAATGTTATTATACTGACAAGTGTTTTTATCTGTCAGGGAAAGGAGAAGAAAACATGGTGAACAAGCCCCTTCTTAATGTTGTAGGAGACTCTGTTGTAACCAAGACGACAAAGATGAACGTAGTTGGAGCAAATAACAAAAGATATTAAGGCAAACTATTTCAAGTTTTCCTACTTACATTGACCACATTGCAGATCGAAGTGATGTCTGTACCAAATACTGTTTTTTTCACAAAATCTAAATACTACATTGTGGATTTCAACAGAAATAACCAAAAATATATATTCTGGGATCTTGGGAGAAGAGCCTCAAATCAACATGGTTCCCCAGATCTTCTTTCCAAACTCTGATGCATTAATTTCCTCCTCTCTCCTTTCTATTTCCCTCCACTGTGAAAGAGCAGTTTCCATTATGCCACAGGTTCACATTAAGGAGATGGGAACAGGCTGGTACCTGCAATTATCCTTGCTCACCCAGCCGTGGGCCACTAGGTGCTGAGCAACAGCTGGCTCTCTCTTTCCCTTCACCAGACACACACACACACACACACACACACACACATGCAGCCGCACACAACCCCTCCTCCCCCTCCAGACACTTACCCACCCATTCCTCACATTCACCTGCCAAGCAGCTTGATTAATAAGGCCAGTGCTCACAGTGAAGCAAACCACAGACAGAGAGAAAGGAAGGGAGAAAGAACAAGCACAGAGTTGGTCCAGAGAAGCCTACAGTATGTGACCATGTGTTATATAACAGCCATGCATTGCAAAAAGGTGATCTGTCATCCTGTGAGCATGGAAACACACTAAAGTATAGTCAGAGGAGGGATCGTAAAATATTGCACTGATTCAAAAGAAACAGTCCAAGTCGTAATTTATCATGACGTCCCTCAACACCTTTCTCTCTAACACCAGAGCACCGGTCTTTGATTCTGTCAAGAGCAATGGATCAAACCACAGAGAGACTGCATTCTCCATGTTGCTCTCTCACTGTCACACAAACACTGAGCAGTAAACCAACGTATATGGTGCAGTCATATCTCCAAATATGAGGCCAATGCTGCATGCATTGTTTTTGTTAATGCAGAAATTGTTCTTTTGAAATATTTTTTTTTGTATTTAACAAGAAATAAAACAGACAACAAAATGGGGGCATATCTTGCTGTTAAGATATCAGAATCAGAATCAGAATCGGAAATACTTTAATAATCCTAGGTGTGATGTAATATGTGATCACGGGTGCATAGTGGTGCAAGTACATTTTCCAAGTATACTTGGAATACCTGTCCTCGTTCGTAATTGCCCTCTAGAATGACACATGATCTGCTTTGTTAATGTTTGGGGGGCATTGTCATGGTTACAATACCTTATCACCCAACATCAGTGTCAGACACAAATGATATAATCACATATGGACGTAATGTTCAGGTGTCCATATACTTTTGGCGATGCAGTGTATGTTTAATGAACAAATTAATATTTTTTTTAATAAAGTATAAAAAATGAAGTTGAAAAGTGTAGAGAACACTCTCTGGCAAAGACACAGAGAGACAGTGATCCAGATCAGAGGACGTGCTGGCAAAGTGCTTTGTCAAATCTGGCCTGACTTTCCATCTATTTTAACAACTGCAGTCATAAGCAATCCTGGAGATCTATGAAACTTATCTTCCTCCCTCCTCTCCCCACGGCTGCTGAGGCAGCACCTGGATTTAAATGACTCGACTGATAGCCACAGAGACAGGATTCATTTCTGGACTCTCCTGTTATTGATGGCGTGACGTCGGAAGGGCTGGAAAATTACCCTCAGGGGCCACTCCGCCCCGGCTCTGTACTACATGATGTTTCTTCTGACAGATGTCTGGCAAAGAAGAGCAATGTGGTTTTGTTTGTGTGCATTGCCCAGGGGGGTCACAAGGCCTTCTGGTTTTTCACGGGTGTAAGAAAGCGTAAAAAAATATACACAGTGTTCCTATATCTCAGCAAGTCGTTCATTTCTGTGAAAACTAATGAAATAGTTATTTTAAAAGTTCATATTCTTATTTAAGATAATAGTGTGAAGATCTGAACACAAGCTACAGTATATTTTTACAGAGCCTCCACTCTGCTAAACAGGCTCGTCCTGCATTAGAAAAAAGAAGCCTATTAAGCATCTATGATTGCTGAAAAATAAACAAAAACATAATACAGACAGAGAACTGAACTAAAAGTTACCTCTAAATTATGAGGAAAACTAATCTCTAATGCAATATTCATCCAATTTAACTAAATCATACATTTTACTCAGCAGTTACTGTGTTCACTATTTAGGATAATTGTACAGTTTATCAGTTGTTCTGTATGGTTTTTGTTATGCATTTAATATAATTCTAATATCTATCAAACATGTTTTGTGGGGTCATCAGTTCAACAAGTGAGAAAGGATCCCTTAAGGAAAAAGGTTGGGCACCACTGTGCTAGAAGTCATTGGATTTAAATGTGAAGATTTTTTCCCCATTTACTCTTTTTCAAAAGAAATTCTCTTTATATAAGTACAGAAAGGTAACATGTTAACGAAAAGAAAGAGAAATAACACATCTTTTAATCAATTGGTCTGAATATATATACAAACCCAATATTGGAGACATCATAGTAAAAGCACAGTTCACTATGCTGGTCAAACATTTCTCAATTCCAGGAAATTTCTAGAGTAAAATATTTATGATTACAATGCCTTTCCTTGGATACTCAAGGTTTAACCACTTCCAAGAAACTTATCAGGTAGTATACATCCCAAAACGTCAAACCCTTTCTGTAATACTCCTCAGTGACGTAGTTAATAAGTCAGTGGATGCTGATAGGAGCATACCAGTTGCTTCAGCCTCATGTGCCGACTAGTGGACTGTGAAACTCACAGATATCAGTCTATTAGTTGTATTTTAATGGCACGCTGTGAGACCTGGCTTTGATAGCTCTGTTATATATAAAATCCAAAAGACATATTGTCACAGTAGAATTCATGAGCATACAATTAACTTGACGATTATCTGCCTGACTGCAGATATTGATTTCACACACACACACACAGTTTATTTGACCTTCTGACTTAGTCAGTAATTAATTCTTATTACAGAAATACTCATATACAGCTACTGAAGTGCTGGCACCAGTGTTCGCACACAGCAGTGGCCAAGAGGGAGACATCCCCATCTAGTGGGCCAGGGCTCCAGATAATGATGTAAAGAAATGTTGCATAATCAATAAATCGAGTTAGAAAACAGTTTAGAGCTCGATTACAGCATAATTAGGGTGAAAGTGTTCATTTTTTCTCACTCCTGAAGGCTCAGGCAGGATTAGTCTTTAAAATCAATTATTATTTTTTCTTTAATTCATTCTTTTGCTGTTTGAATTTCTTGCGCATTTTCCTGTTATTTGTTCCATTTGTTTAAAAAACATTACTAATACATTAGAAAAATTAAGGAAACATGATACAAACAGGACACATGAAGGATATATCTCTTGTAAATAATTAATTCTGACTTAAATTAATGTTTATTTGGGCCCCAGTAGCTCACCTGGTAGAGCTCTCACCCTCTCTCTCTCTCTCTCTCTCTCTCTCCCCTACCTTTCTTGTCTCTCTTCAGCTGTCACCATTTAAATTAAAAGCAGAAACACCAAACACATTCTCTTAAAAAGAATGTTAATTGAAGGTGGACATTAGGAAAAGCTACAACATTCCTACCTAACTTTCAAGAAGGAGTCCTGTATCATGCTCTCCACCTCCTCAACTAACACACTGTACTCAGCCTGACAAACTGTGTGTCCCGTCCTGCCACTCTCCTTCAGACATTTTATCATGTCTCTGTGTGTTTCTGGTCCAGACGCGATAGATGCGAGCTCCTTCAGCTGCTCAACAGGATCCTCTGGAATATTTTGGATTTGTAAGGCTTTGAACACAGCGGGAGCAAATTTCCCGTAGTGAGCAGTGGAACAAAGCACCACGGGGCACGAGCCGTCCTGCAGCCTGTCAGCCACGACTTTAGCCACGGCGGTGTGTGTGTCCATGACGTAGCCGGTCCGTGTGTGAACGCTCTGGATGGCAGTCAAGCAGTCGTCTTCAGAGCACCAGCCAGCCAGCACTTCCTGCTGTATCCTGCCAAGAAGAGGCTTGGGAACCTGAAAGTGCTGCTGCGTGTCCAAGCGTGTGAACAGCTCCTTGACAAGACGGCCGTCTCCGTCTGAGACGTGGTAGATAAACCTCTCGAGGTTGGAGGATTTCAGGATATCTATAGCCGGGGAGTGGGAGAGCATCAGAGGCCGTCCCCGGAGATCGTACTCGCCTGTGGTCATAAAGTCTGTGATGATGCGGTTGTGGTTGGACGCACAGATGACTTTTCTTATCGGGATGCCCATTTGCTTGGCGTACACAGCTGACATGGCATTGCCAAAGTTACCAGAAGGGATGCAAACATCAATGGGCTCCCCGAACTTGATAACACCGTCTCTGTATAGATCCAGATAGGCTGAGGAATGGTACACCACCTGCAAGAGGAGGGAAAGTTAACAAAAGTGTGTTAAGTGAGCTGCTGCGTCACAAAAACATAACTGTGTTGAATCTGACACACAACAGATGAAATGTCACATAAAAACATCAGAATAGTGTTAGATATTGTTTCAAAATAGAAATACAGCAGACAACGCTAATAAATGTCATGTCTTATAAAGCTGTAACTTCAACAGAGATCCTGCATCTAACTCAACATGTACACTAGTTCCCTTGTTGTAAGCTAGAATGAGACACATGGATGCCTCACACAAAAAAGTTATTTAGTCCTTCTCAGTTTCTTAAAATAAATCAAACAATCTGCCACTACTATCTACTTTATACATTATTTAATGACCTGAGAAGTTAGCACTCTTGTTAAATTGAATGTCAGTCTTGTGAGTGATTTCAGGCAAAAACCTTGATAAAGCATCCCATCATGTTCGGAAATTAAATTATATATATATATATGACTGAATAAATAAATAAAACAAATATAGACGTTTGGTGACTCCTCAAAACAAGAATTTAGCAAAACCAAGCTTCATTTTCTTGCACTCAACCCAACTGGATTAAATGGAGTTATTATTATTATTTTAGTCAAATATTTCATACAAAAATGCCAATCATTCTGTTCATTGTATGTGTTGCTTTTCCCTGTTTTATGGCATTGTAAATTCAAAATCTTTTGGTTTTGGTCTTTTGGTCGGAATAAACAAGCAGTTTGACGACAGGTCTCACAGCGTGGCATTAAAAATACAACTAATAGACTGATATCCGTGAGTTTCACAGTCCACCTGAGGCTCAAGCAGCTGGTACGCTCCGAGCAGCGTCCACTGACTTATAAACTACCTCACCTTTGCCTCGTTGACCTTTTTGACATGTAAAAGTAGAAACAACCCAGGTCTAAATAATAAAATAAATGATGGCTGAATTCCATGCAGCTGCTCCAGTGTGCATGCTGACCACTGTCACACTCCCGTGGCTTACTGTCACACTCGTATAGAGTTAATAACACCTGAGCTTTCGAGTGGAAACGCTGTGTAAAAGCCCTCTTATAGAAAGGAATCTACTGCGCCAACCTGTGGCAACAGCCGCGCCCAGTTGATGGAGTTGGCGGTGCTGAGGACTGTGCCGTACTCGACAGCGAGGTGCCCCGTCAGCCCAGACTCTCCAAACATCCTCTTCATGGTTCTCTGACAGAAGTCAAAGTCTGCCAGGACGCTGACGGCCCTGGCGTTGTCCTCCCTGTAGCTCTTCATCTGAAGCTTCTGGATCTCACTCACGCCTTCCTCCGGGAAGAACACCAGCACCCCGGTCCTGTGTCTGTCGGTGCCGCTGAGCCTGCTGAAGCCGCTGAGCACGGCGCTCCCAGTGTCTCCAGATGTGGCTACCAGAATGAGGTAGTTGCACATCGGTGGGAGGCAGTAGGCGAACAGCTGGGGCATCAGCTGCAAGGCGAGGTCCTTAAACGAGGCCGTGGGGCCGTGAAACAGCTCCTGGACGTACTGATTGTGGATGAGATGTTTCACAGGTGCCACTGCCTCGCTGGAAAAGTTCGACCCATACGCGTTGACTATCATAGTCCTGAGATCCAGAGCGGAGACGTCCAATGGGTGAACGCACTTTTCAAGCAAAACTAACGCTCGCTCCGGGTAGGACATGTCAGCCAGCCTCAGCCATTCACGAGCACCTATGTTTGGGAAGCCGTTTTTGGGAACATAGAGGCCTCCATCTGTGGCCAGACCCTCAACTACCACATCGCTGAAGTATGTCTTCTGATTGGACGAGTCCACGCTGTGACTCCTGGTCGACACGAAGGTTTCCGCGTCGTGGTTCAGATATCTCTCCACAGCCTTCAGCACCTTCTCCGCCACTTCCTCCACCGCGTCCCCCGTCCCACACAGCACCCGCACATCCAGCCACTTCTCATAAAAGCGCTTCCTGTAACGCAGAATGTCCCTCATGGACGCCCCTGTCTCCTGGCCCACGATCCTGTTCACCTTCATCCTGGCGAGTCTCTGTATGATGTCTTCCCCGTCCACATCCAGGTAGATGACCAGTCCGGACTCCTTGACGTGCTGCATCGCCGCAGCGTGCAGAGGGTTGGAGCCTGTCAGGGAAACAACACACCCAGAGGCAGAGAAGTTACACAAAGCCTGGCCTTCTTCCTCCAGGAAACGCTCCCCGCCGACTGCTGCCAGCTTGGCAGCGACGGGCATCTTCCACGTCGTCTCCAAGACATCGTCGTCGACATCGATGGCAGGCAGTCCCAGTCTGAGGGCCACTATCCTCCCCACTGTGGTCTTCCCTGCTCCAGGAGGACCCATGAGCAGGAGGTTCTTGTCCCCCAGCAGGGAGGCTTTGGTGGAGAGCCATGATTTGGATGATGAAAAGGGACTCAGGTAGCATCTGAGAGCTCTCAGTGCAAGCTGACTTGCATTCAGTAAACCCATTGAGGAGACGGATGACAGCAGCCTCTTCTGTGAAATACAACATAGTGATAAAGACATTTCAAACTCACTCATACTTTGATTTTATTTGGTTTATTTAGACTGGCTCTACACTAGCAGCTCGTGTCCTGATGCAGTGCTGCAAGGGGCTGTGTGGTCACTTTGCACGTGTTAGCCAGGACAGTAGTTTAATGCGCGAGACACTCACGTGTACAGGTGTATTTCCGGACTACAAACCCGATATTCAACTTTAGTAGAGTCTGTGGTAACTATAACAGTGTTGTTTTAACAGAAGAAGTACAACTCTGTACCACATACTCGACACGAAGCTCACTCTGCAGTCGATACAAACAACTACGGTCAGCCTGGAGGGACAAAATAGATGGAGAAATGGATTCTCGCCAAGCTTTCCGTTGCAAAAAACACTGTTCATTCATGTCATGTTTTATTTCCTATGTAATCCAGCCATGGGCTTACAAATTTCACCATGTATAAGAGCAAATCACTTTAATACCCTCGTTACGTTTTCTTGAACGATAACCTGCTTGTACGAGTGAGTTGTGTGCTGCATTCACGGTCCTCGGAATTTTGTACTTCAGTGTTCCGAATTCTAAAGTACGACTCGCATTCATACGAAAATAGCGCTTTAAATGCAAATTATCATAAACCAAGACATGTGAAATAGAGTCAGAAACAATAGTAAAACATATCCTGACACGGTTTTGGTGAAAGCTCATAATTTGTAGAAATAAAGCGGCGGAGAGCTAAATCTGTTTCACAACCACAGAGAGAGACAGAAAATACTTTTAGTAGGAGTATAATGAGTTGCATATGAACACTGGCGTTATCCAAAGCGAGACACAGTCGGTGAATTGTAGACAGGAAGAGCTCAAATACCTTAAATTATTCACTTTACAACTGTCTGTAAATGCAACATTTGCCTAGCAACTAGTCGAGAAATGCGTTTGTTGTTAAACAAACCACGCTGAGCCAAGACTGTGTCGCTTCTGTAAACTCAGTCCCGTTAAACGAGCTTGTTTTTAGACCCTCAAAATGTCCGAGGTCGTGCATCCACCGGAAAGCGTCTACAACCTCATTCCCAGGGAAGAGGTTCATATTCAAAAACCACCGAGGTAACGATACTTTAAGGAGTAACTTTAGTAACTTTATATTTGAATAAGTGAGAATCATTTTATTGTGGTTTGCCTGCTTAAAACTTCCTCAAATCTAACGTTATATGTCGCTATTGTTTTATTGTATTCCTGCTTGTTGATAAAGATGGATGAATGACTTTGAAATTGGACTGATTGTTTTCTCCAATGTGCTGCATCTGAAGGTATATGTCCAAGCATAGGCCAACAGTTGTTCTTGAGGAAAAGTCAACCAAGGATGCAATGAGGACGATGGGACCAGCAAAAGTAGAGGTGCCCTCCCCAGAGAAATACCTCAAGAAGCACTCAAAAGAGCCCAAATTACCCGAAAGTGAGTTTTCCTATCTGGGGGGACCAACATGTGTCTGCGCCTCTGAGCAGTGATCGTCTCTTTTACCTTCATATTCATTTGTTCCTCCAGTGACACAGTGTTCGAAGGAGTTTCGCACCACCTGCGCTGTGAAGAAACCACCTGTTCCTGCGAGGACAGACATCCCACCTATGGGCATTCGCACCAAGAGAGACTTCATAAAGACAGCTACAGCAGTCCCAATGAAGCCCCAGCCTGTCTGCGTAGACACCAGCAAGGGACACAAGCAGCTCCTTGAGAAATCAGGACTTCTCCCCAAGTACATTAAAAAAAAGGTATTTTTTGTCTACAATACTACACACAAGAAAGATTTGGGACACTGTTTAAGTCAGCTACGCTACTACTACTACTCAGATACGTTTAAAAATACACAGTGAACATGTTGTCTGAAGTTTCCAGCTCCTTTTTGCAGCATTATGGAGAAGTGCCGGACTACCTGCTGCAGCGCAATGACGAAGAGCGGAGAGCTCAGGAGGAGTATGACGACTTTGTGAGAGAACAGAGGGAGAAGGGAGCCATGAAACACCTGTCTGACGAGGAGCGACAAACCATCCTGGAGGTACTCGAGCACGCGGCTGCACGGTGGCAGTTTCTGAAACAACAGGGGATCTTACACACACCTGGGACGACTGGGGAGTTGATGATTTCATGTCTTTTGAGTTTTTAGGAGAATAACTTCTTCTAATACTTACTTACTTACTTTTTTCAGTCCTAAGGAGTCAGGATGAAATGGCCGTAGTATGGCTGATCATTTTTTGTAGATGTTTAAAAAGACAGCACAGCAAACTACAGTTGCTTGACACACTACAATGAATAAATTACAATGTCTCACACACTTGTGACAGTGATGGGTTTCCCTGTGTGGGTCCACTATCCAGGGCCTGAAGAAGAACTGGGATCAGCTGCACCGTGAGTACCAGGGCCTCTCGCTCGTCACGGACACCATTTCGAAGAAGTTCCATAAGGAGCGCCTCGAGGTGGCGATGAAGCAGCTGGAGAGCGACATCGGCCACTTTGAGAGATTCAAGACCATCTACATACCCACTATCTAGGACATAAAAAAAAAACTCTTACCTAATCAGATGTACTGTATGTCTTGAGACCGTCACCCTTACTTTAAATATCACATGGGCTTGAGTAAAATAAGTATGAATGAATATTTCACTGTGGACTAATGCTGTTCTTGGGTCTACCACTAGTAGTGCACAAAATGATGTACTCTCTCTAAAATATTATGTAATTTTAAAGCAAAATTTGGAATTTAAGGTTTTTTTTTGAGTAGAGCCTTTTAGAGATATTCACTTTTTGCCCCAGATAATGACAAAACAATTGTTTCTTTATTCCTCCCTTCCTTTTTTATCATTTCATCTTCCTCTCTTAAAATGGAAGATCTCTGAGAGCCTCTTTTGCAAGCAGTCGTGGCCCCGTGCAGGCTCTAAGAGTATCCTTTAAAATCAATTTCACACTGACTCAATAAAAGTTACCGCAGCGAAACTGAACCCAGTATTTGTTGTTAATGTTTTTTCATTCTCCCTCTGCGGCTTGTGACGCGGCCACAAGCCAGCATAGCATCACATGAAGCTGATTATGGCCGTAATTCTCCACGACCGAAACAACGCTGTCCTTCTACACAAATGACTCAAGCGTGATCCCACAGCACATGCGGCTGGCCCGGACTTCTCTGGATAGCTTTTACTTTATTTTGTTTCTCTTTGTTTTGTGAATGGTCGCTGAGAAGAAGGCAACACAACTGTAAGTAATGCTTTGGCAATAAGGGATTTGAAGGGGAGAGTGTAACGTTAAGGTTTGAATTAACAAACTGTGGCTTTAAATTGTACGAGATGGTTAAACTTGTCTTGGTTTTCCTGCACTGTAACTTTTCAGAGAAAGATGGAAAGCCTTTCATTATCTGGTCTGGTGCATTAAACCATTTCTGTGTCTCTCCACTGAAGGTCACTGCTGCCTGTAGACTATCCTGAATCTTTACCCCAGTGGAGGCTGTTTTCACCCTGCCAACACTACAAATGGACAACGCAGGGATAAAAAGAGGAATTGTGGTGTGTTTAGAATCATTCAGTCAAAATATCGAGTGAATTAATTCAGAAATGTATTTTATAATCCAACATGAAGAGAGAATTAATATAAATTTTTTGTAATTATTTGCTCAGCTATTAGAGCTGTTGTAAGAAGATAACGTGTTTGCTGAATTCCTTGAAGTCATTATTAGATTAAGTTAACAGTAGGCAGATTTTAAAGAACCTTCAAGGTTTTTATTTATTCTGAGCCCAGGAGATATATTATTAAGCTGAAGTCAGTAATGTTAGTATTAATATTTCCCTGTTTGAGTTTAAAGGTTACAGATGCTAAGGGTGAACAGTCGTTGTGTATATCCAATATAATCATATTCAGTCTTTTGTCAGTGACAGTTTAAACAAAGCCTAATTTTTATTTCAGCTAAATGTTTCATTTTCTACTGTTAATACTGTTTTGTATTAGCTGTACTTTTTAAAACTGGAATTTGAAGCAGCTAAATTCTGTTGTCAGCTGCTTTGAATTTCAGTTTTTAAAATTCCCAGGTTGTAAAATTCTTCTACATCAGTGGATTTCAAACTATTGCACACCAACAGGCAAGCCAAAATCTCAAGGCACATTCATTTCCATGCAACATAACCTCTATATAACATGTTATCACTTTGTAAACATTTATTTTAATTAATAATTCCAAAACAACTATCACTCATGAAATACAAATACAAATAGCTTACAAAGTACTGATGTTTAAATTGAAAATGAATTCCTTACTTTTTTTATAGTTGTATATTACATATTGTATTGTAAAATCCCAAGGCATACACGAGTTCCTACTGCAAAACTTCAGATTTACGCAATGAAATACAAATAGCAGTCATGATTTCTCTTAGATTCTGGAAATCCACCAGTCTTTCTAGTGCTTAAACAGGTCTTTGTTTACATTTGGCTGTTCTCTCTCAAATATTGCACAAGTGAGTAGTTTGAACACATTGCTGTAACACGCCTAACTGATTACCGTCTGTCCCAGATAAAAGATGACTGGCCAGGATACAATCTGGACCTGTTCACTTACCCCGAACACTACCATGAAGACATAGAGAGTGTTTACATTCCACATGGGGTAATCATGAACAGGTAACAATACACATGAACACGCCTGCAATGTGATTTGGTTTAAAATAATTCCCTGGTCATTTGTATTTGTCTTGATGTGATCTCTCCCGCAGGATAGAGCGTGTGGCCCGCTACATCATGGACGACTTTGGGGACAACAACATAATGGTGCTGTGCGTCCTGAAGGGAGGCTACAAGTTCTGCGCAGACCTGGTGGAGTTCATCAAGGTTCTGGGCCGCAACTCCAACAAATACCTGGAAACCCGGGTGGAGTTCATCCGTCTGAAGAGCTACCTAGTACGTGAACTGCGTATACTAAAATCCTATTACATACAGGCTTCATATCTGTGCCATGTAATTTTATCATTGAAAGAAAATAGCTAAATCATTTTTTGGGGGGGGGATTTTCTTTCTGTGATACAATTACATGGCACTGATATGATTAATCAATTATTTGAGTAGGCCATCAACAGAAAATTAATAAACAAGCTCATGCTTTTATTATAAATGCCAAATATTCACTTCTTCCAGCTTCTCAAGTGTGAGGATTTCTTTCTTTCCTCCATTTTATATCATAGTGAATGGAATGGTTTTGTGTTTTGGACTGTTGGATGGACAAAACATGCAATTTGAGGACATCAGATTGGGTTTTGGGAATTAATGATGAGTTTTTATTACAATTATTATTAGTAGTGACATCCCTACATACCAAAGACACTTTCCCATTTTTAACATCCCTCATGTTGCGTCTGTTTTTTGGTTTGGCCACCAGATGTCACTGTTGTTCATGTTTAGCGAGGAAAGAATACATTTCAGGCAGGACACTTCAAGGACGATTGATTGTGGAGCCACTGCAGAGCTCAGGTCATGAAAACACCAGCCTGCTAATTGGTGCTGTTGCTGCTGCCAACAGAAACAGCTTATGACACCTGGAATGTATAAACCGAGCAATTAACTTTGGGAATGATATAGTAATGTTTACAATGATATCACTTTGCAATTGTCACCACAGTCACTTATTGTTCTTTAGTGTGTTTTGGCTCACAACACATCCAGAATAATGTGATTTACATTTCTCTACATGTGGTCGCATTCCTTCTCTCTCTTTGCAGCGCAGGGGAGGATTCACTATTTCTGCTTTAAGAATTGGCTTTCACAGAGGTTTAAGTAGCTATAAGGACACCCTAAATTGAATTACAGGTTGTTTTTTGCCTTGCTGGATCAGTTAAACCACACTGAGGTCATATTGTAACGTCAGAAGTTTACTTAAAGACAAATAAAATAACTAAAATTATACATAGCACTGGTAATAAATGCATTGTTAAGTTAAAAAAAGAAGTAGAGAAGAAGTAGTTAAGGTAATGTGGCTGTGCAAGAGCATAAAAACCTCATAATTATATTTTGATGTCAACAAAGATGGTGGGAAGCAACAGTCTCTGTTATTACACTAGAGGACAGTGTGTGAGCGACGGCAGCGCTCTCAGTCGATCTCACAGGTCATGATGGAGTCATGTGACCTGCCCCCAGGGCCGGGATTTTGTGCATGTCACTGCTCCTCTTATCCGAGTGATGCATCTGTAGCCGACCGAATCTAACTTCAAAGCTGTTGCTCTTCAAAGCTTTGCCCTGTGCTTCCTACAGGGGCCGAGAGAGTCCGTCTTTGTTTATGTTAAGGATAATATTGTACATTCATAGTCATTGTAAAATAATTCTCCCTTTGTGCATTTGACTTGCATTAATGCTGCAGACTTTTTCTTGAACTGTACAGGAGAGCCCCATTACTGAGAAACTCTAGAGAAAACATGTGCATCTCTATTTCTCAGTCTGACAGACCATTTGTTGTCATTTCTGGTGGCTGAAAAGAATAAATCATTGATTTCATATGAACAACCTCCTGTTGAGGAAGGAGCAAAAGTGCAAGGAATCAGCAACAGGGCTGTAAAAAAAAAAGCACACAGTTGACAACAGCTACATTCTTTCTTCATCCGTCCATTTTCATCTCCTCCTCCCCAGAATGACCAATCAACAGAGGAGCTGCACATCATAGGAAGTCGGGATCTGTCTTTCCTGCGTGGAAAGGTACGTGTTGATAGGTTTCCCACTTCGTTTTGGAAATTGTGTGGTAACTCTGGCAGTACTTTTTGTCAGAATTTTCTGTGAAGTGAACAACTTTACACAGGTGAACAAAAGGGTTCTTCTTAGAATACATCATTTTTTTAGCTACAATGGATAACAATATGTGATACTGCTTGAAATGGGTTTTTTATTGCCCCAAACTTGCCCTCGGGCCAGAACTCACCCCTGCGTTTCAACTTTTAAACCTTTCTCTACACAACCGTACTCAACTTTGAATGTTCCCAGCAGGCAGATTTACTGACTGTTCATTCCTGTTGAGTCCCGGCATTGACGACTGAGGAGTCCACAGAGCACACGGGATCATGAGGAATGGTCCCTCCTCGCTACATTATTCTCTGACATAGGCATAAGACAGAAACTTCACTTGCTCACCGGGATGCGTGCGCAAATATGCCCTCCCGCGTTTGCTTAAAAAAGACTGATGTTGAATTCCCTCAGCGGCGATGTCAGAGCGTGCTACAGCTAAGATGCATTTTCACTGTGGGTTAAAAGGTCAGTGGGAGTAAAAAGAGAAAGGCTGACCACCACCTTGCACAGAAGACATGAATCAGTCCACTGTGTCTGTGTTACTTACGTTGACACTCTTGTTACCATCCTTCATCTTATTGGAAATATTAAACCTCCCACGAAGTCTCATATATGTTTTTTAAAAAGTAATTATTAATCATCGGTCTTTGTAAGCTTTATGCAGAAACGTTGTTGAGCTCCAGGTTTTATGAGTGCGGTGCTGCTGACACTGTTCCTTTAAAACCTAATGACAATGGCAACGTAATGACAGCATGGGTTGAAGAGTGAGGTGGCATGAGCTGGTTTCCATGAGCTGATCAGCACTGTTTCTTATGCACACTGTCTCACTGTGGATTCATAGCACTCAGATGCCTTAATCCCAAGTGTTATTATGGCAATATGAGTTGTCTAGTTTAAATTTAGCACAGCTTTAAATGTGAAATAGTGTGTGAATTTGTGAAGAAGGAATTATTATTGGAATATTGAAGGACGGGTGAAGTACCTGTTTCTGTTGATGATGATTTGTTGCTGCTTGAGGCTGATTGAACTCATAGCAACCCATTATATTCTCAAAGAATTCAAAACTGAGCCTTTCGTCTCATTTTCCAAATGTATGAAAAATCTTTAATTATTAAATGACGAACAAAATAAATACGCCATGATCATTTCTTTTACTCTTAGAGCATATTGGTCAGTGCCTACATTTACTTGCAATGTTTTGATGGATTCAGCTAGAGGAATCGTACAAAACCCATGATCCAGGGATCCTAGGAGAACTATAAAATCCCAAACAATGATGCTATTCACAGCCAATAATTACCAATGCACCGTTGGCTGTATAGTTTGTTTACTGTTTGCAACATGCAGCAAGACGGGTTTGTTTTGTATGAGTTTTTGTGTTCTTTAAATGTCCCCGTCGACTTTCTCCGAGTGTTATGCAACAGTGTTCAGGTGTAGACTGAGAGAAGTTTGGCGGGCTGCCTGCATTCTCTCCGATCTCGCTCCCCAAACCATAGATACTCTCCACTGGGCTCACAAAGAGCCCCATACACCCGGCCAAGGGAACAAGGAGTCATTTGAAACCCTGCAGCAGGGAAAGTGTGCAACACCCAGACACTTAGAAGTGACTTTTGCTCACTGTAGACGCAGATGTTCGGTACTGTGTGGAAGAGAATGTGTTGCCTGTGTTATTGTTAAGGCACTGAAGATGCTGCCAACATTGTTGCTATAGATACCATCTGTAAGAAATGTACATTTCACAGGAGCAGTCGAGCCTTTCTTGTCACTTTGCTTTGCAGTGTTGAAATTCAAAGGTGATGTTTTGCTAATGTGTTTCTTCTTTTTTTACATGTTACAAAGAGTGTGCTCATTGTTGAGGTGAGTCTCAGGTGCAAATAATCTACCTCCCATCTGCTCTGTCTTGCAGTTTAGTTTCTTTTTTAAACTGAATTAATTATATCGAGCATGCCCTTCAAATTCCCACTTTGTTTGGTGCCTTTCGACATGTTTGGTTTGCGCTTCTTGTCGTGTCTTGTTGATTGAGAGGCCACTGTGCTTCCAAGAGCCAGCTCGCTTTTGTGTTTGGTCCACCAAACGACAAAGAGAGAAACGTTTTCTCTCTTTGAGATCGAGTTTCAGTTGTAACTCAAGTCAGAAACTCGTAAACACACTAACACAATGGTTGTTATGTTGTTGTATTGAATGGGTGGCATCTTAAAATCATGTCACTAACAAAATTAACACTCAGTTGTTGTTCAAGCTGGAAATGTACTCTGCACATGAAAAAGCAACACTTAACAAAAACAAATATTATCAATGTGATACTGAGTATTGCATGTACACATTTGTTCCTTATTAATACGTTAATATAGTTAATCTAGGTAAAATAAACATAACATTAGGGACAAATTTATTATCTTACGATCTGCATATATATTATATCTGTCATTCTGCACTCAAATGTCCGGCGCCCATTCCCTCTTCATCTCTCCCTCTTCCTTTTCTCTTCCCTTCCCTTAGGCCATAGTTGACACAGGAAAGACCATGAAGGCCCTTCTGAAGCATGTGGAGACCTTTGAACCCAAGATGGTCAAGGTCGCGGGGTGAGCCATGCAGTTTTTCAGTCTTCTGTGTTTTCCACATCAGGGGAAATGCCAGGCATGTGACGAACGCAAGAGGAAGATATCACTTGTCCACGGTCGCTATCTCGTCTCCATGGGCTGTTCCTCTGCACTCCAAGATCACAGAAACATAATTCCTCTCGCATGGTTCATGTTGAAAGTTCATCTCCTCTTTTACTGAAAACAATGTCTGTCTGCTGTAAAAATGTTGTGTCTGCTGTAAATTTGGGACAGATTTGTTTCAAACTGTAACATTTTGTACATTAACTCTATATTTCATGTGTTTCAGTCTGTTGGTGAAGAGGGTCCCTAACATGGCTGAAAGTCTGACGGACTGTAAGTTTGAATGTCATCCATTCCTCTCACATTACTACAGTTGTATGGGCTTAATAGCCTTTAATTGTTCAGCATCTGATATCTTATAAGTCCCCTTTTTTCATGAAATATAGTTCATACGTTTTTCGTAGAATTTAGAGTCTTAGCTTTAGATTTCACATCTTTTTTGTCCCACCTAAGCTCCACACACCTCTTCCTATTCTGACTAAATCAAGATTCTCTGGCACCAGTAAATGACAATAATGTAAATTTGTATGTCTGTGGTTTCATGGAGCCAACACAAAGCTCCAATAGACAAACATGCTTTTTTCTATATAAGCCTGAATGTATATTATTAAGACATTATGGTCTTAAGAATACAAAATGTATGTTTCTATGTCCCAAAACAATTTCAGAATTCACATCAGGTAGCAGTTTAACATTCGTGTCTGTGTTTGCTCTGATAGACGTTGGATTTGAAATCCCCAACCGCTTTGTTGTTGGTTATGCCTTGGACTACAATGAATACTTCCGTGACCTGAATGTAAGTCCTGAGTCTACTGCCACCGCTGCACACAGCACATGACCTTTTGAAGAGCTAAGAGAAAGAGATGAAAGAGATAGAAGGGGGGCGTAAACACCACAAATCAAAGAGATGCACTCTTCTCTGTGAAACCTAAACTCACCCAACAGGTATCCTCCCTGCCTGAGAAGAATTTACACATAGCAGCTCCGTTCACTTATGTGTGCACTGTGTGTGTGTATAAGTATTGAAATCATTAATAACACATATCATTCAGTGCAATACTCAGTGTTGTGTTGACCAGTGAGAATAAAGTTGTATTGTTTGGACAGGGTAAGACATTTGCGTCGCATGGACACAACTAGAAACAAGGAAGTGAGTTGGGCTCACCTTTTTATGCAGGAAACTACAATTATTGGTTAAAGTTGCGGTGATCGGACAAAATTGCAAGGCTGCGATCGCAACTTCCTGGAAGGACTGTCTGACTACTTCACTGGTGCTTTAAACCCAGCTTATTCCTCTACAAGCTTTGAGGCAGGAGCGCGCCCTATCCTCTGCTTTCTCTGTCACACCCCTGACATCTTATTCCAAGCCAGATTTCTCAGTCTGAAATTAGTAAGTGCAAACTTATGTGAACTTTGTCATTTTTACATCTGTAAAGACGTGGCCTCAGATTTACCTCTGACTCATGTGAAACACTAAGCCTAGACCGACTCCCATAGCTTTGTGTGTGTGTGTGTGTGTGTGTGTGTATTCACATGGGTGTGTGTGGTGCTGTATGTACTGTACTGTACGACTGTGTCTCTTGTGCATGTTTGAGGGTGGTGGTATTCATTACGAAAGTTTGAAAGAGGGTGACCTGTGGAATGTAGAGGTTAGGATCTCATTATCAGGCAGAGTTAAAGCTTCCCCTCTTATCTGTCCTTATCCTACAGAAGAAATATTAGTTGAACCCCTGGGACGCCCAAAGTTAGATTAATGAATGTGTCATATCTTTGTAGATTACCTTTCCTGCTTTCAAATTACTGCAAGCTTCAAGTTCTCATACTGAAGGCTCTCAGAACATGCTGGAATTTCCCATAGGGCAGGGTGATCTTAGACAAATATTTTGCCATCGTTAAACGCAAAGTTTTGGACAAGATTGAAACATACAGTTCAGCATTGAAGTTACACAAGCTAATTTTTCTTTCTCCCACTTCTTCTTTCAGCATATCTGTGTCATCAGCAAGACTGGGAAGATGAAGTACAAAGTTTGAGAAGAATTAAAAGAATTGGAGTAATGCAGTCAGAGCAGCACACAAATGTTTTTCTACCTGCTTTAGTAATAAGAAAAGTTCAGCTTTGTCTCTGTAAAAAAATTTTTTCAGCTTTGCACTACTTTGTTTAAATGAGCCATGTGTTTCAGACAAAAAACATGTGTATTTTTATTTGTATTTAACTTTAACTTTTTGAGAATTCATCAGAAATTAAATTTTAAATGTGATGTAATTGTTGCCTCCTCCTCCCTCTTTGTGTTTTGTTGTGATGCACAAATGGGAACAAACAAAATGGATAAATAAAAGAAAGAAATGCTGCCCACCAGGAGAGGACGTTGGTGACAGATGGAGAGAGCTTATGGACGTTGGCATCCCCGTGCCCGGATGACGCCCACTCCGACTCATGGAAAACACACAGTGGGTGCAGCAGACGCCGTCTCCTCACCACACTGCATCTATTTGTTCTCAACTTTAATCAGGCCTTACAGGAAATCAAATCCCAACGCACGAGAATTCAGCTGAGTATTTGGCAAAACTGACAATAAGATTAAACCTGTTTATTGTATATAACTTCACTTTACAGTGAAATGCAATCTCACAGACGATAATTAGACTAATTTAGAATTAAACTCTTATGTTTTATGCCTGAAAGTTGCTCGAGTTCAAACTGAAGGAAAACAAAACTTTCTAAATGTCACAAACTATGAAACCCCATTAATTCTTTCATCCAAAAAGAATTACGATTCCTCATAGAAAAATCTCTTAATTGAATCACACATAAACAAACACTGGGGCAGTTGTGTTTTTACAAGGTTTATCGTGCTGCAATTAAACTCTGAGTGCTCTGAACTACAAACATACATGCAACACACACACACACAGAGGTATTTTGTATGTTCTGTTGCCATTGTTGGGGTGACTAAGAGAGTCAATTGTGCATGTCGACAGACAGACGAGGACACGCTTCACTTCACACAGCATGCACTCGGGGAGTGTTATCATGTGGCTATGCACTCTTGATTCTTAATCACCTGAAACTCCAAACAGCCATCGACTCACATTAAAGGAATGCATGCAGACTTATGCTGAGATAGTAAATATTTCACATGATTTATAATTACGATGTAACATCCCATCTGAAAAATGTCGCAATAATTAGAGTGAATGTGTGTGTCTCTTAACCTCAGCACCAAGGTCTGCAACGACTAATGGCTAGTCAAACAAAATATATTGACATCTTTATAGTTCCAGTGACTCTTGTGTAATTCAAATATCATATTATAATACTAGCTGTATGTTTTCCTCACTTCTTACAAACACGTTTCTAGGCCAAAGGTAAATACACAGCTCCAGCTATGAGGCCTCTACAAGTTAAATGACCTGATAAATGAGTTGCTATTTGGATAATATCAGTGACTGCGAACAAAAGAGAGTTCTGGAAGGTTTGGAGCACTCAGTTTCCATGTTGTGCTTTCAAAATGCTCTCAGGTTTCATGACTGTGGTGGTAAACAACACCTTCCCTAGTTCATTTAGAGGAACCCTAAATTCAGTCAGGTTTTATTACTTGCCCATGACCCCTAAGGAGCAGAGGAGCAAGATAAGCAAGAGGGAAGAAGCTCAACAAATTACACAGCTTTTTGGTTGGGCGCTATCTGTGCAGTCTCAGCCACAAAGCCCCCCATTGTACCACCGGCTGCTGCCCTGTGTGTCCTTATCATAAAACATCAGCACTTGGCGGTGGTGGTTAACTTATCCCAGCGCTAATGCCCCCCGCACTGCCCTGGGAACCCAGAGGCCATTGTCCTTCACCTTGATGCAGGGATTTGGTGAAAGCAAGTAGGGACAAAAAGCCTAGCAGGTTTCACATGCTGCTTTGTAGTGCTCCGTCAGGGGAACAGAGGATGGGGCCGCCCGCAGAAAGTAGGCTACAGGTAAACTGTGCTCAGCACAAAAGGAACAAACCGGGAATTGTACATTTGAATGGCCACACATCCATGTATCTGACATATGAAGCCTGTGGTTAGAGACTGTGGGATTTCATTTCACATCACCAGCTCAACAGATAGACCATGTTTACTACCCAAACCTTATTTTGTTGTGCTGTCTTTAAAGGAACAGTTTTTTTTTGCCAAGAGTTAGATGAGAAGATCGATACCATTCTTATATCTGTTAAATAAGTAGTTAAGAGTACAGCTAGGAGACACTTAGCTGAGCTTAGCATAAAGACTGGAAGCAGCGGGAAACAGTGAGTCTGGTGTAATGACTTCTTGGAGTCCTACACTGATTTTAGTGCAGATTTAACTAAAGAGATATGACATGCTGTGGTTGGTGGAGTCTATATTGAGTCAGTCTTTATGCTAGTCTGTCGTCTGGCTGTTGCTTCATATTTAAAGGTTAGTTTGAATAGTACACATTTTCGCTTTCTTGCTGTGAGTTATTGTTAGATGAGAAGATTGATACCACATTCATTCTGTGTGATAATTACTCAATGCAGCTGGAGCCAGCAGCTTGTTAGCTTAGCTTCAAAGCCTAGAAACAGAGAAAAAGCTAACCTGGTTCTGTGCAAAGGTAACAAAATTAACTTTCCAGCACCTGTTTGTTTTATCAGTTTAAAAACTGAAGTATAGAAATTACAAGTTGTGGTTTTACAAGGGTTTCTTTGCCAGACTATTTCTTGGCCGGGGGTAGTGACTTCCTGGACTCCTTCACTTTGGTTTTAGAGGTGTTGGTAGGCAGATTTGACTTTTACTATGGACAGATTGACCCATTCCAGTGAACCGACATGCACAACAGCACCCTGGCTCTGTTTGACCTGAATGAACCTTAATGAGTATTGGTAACACCTACTATTTCATATCAAAATGGCTGCTGGGGGAAATAAAATCTATTTTTAGAGCTGTTATGGGTATTTCAGCTGCATGTGTTGTGACTTAACCAACCTTAATTTAAAATATAGAACATTTATTTAATCAAAATTTAAAAGATTACACTCTTCTTTCCCAGTTTGGAAATTAATAAATACTGCTTCACTGACGCATCTTAGTACACAAATAGAAAGAACATCCTCTCCAGTGTTCATTGTGTTCCAATTAGAGACTGGCTGGCCAGAGGGCTTGATAGATTGACTGCTGCTGGCTTTCATCCAGTCATCAAACTCAGAGCCAGATCCACTTATACAACCTGGAGTGGGGAGTGATCCTCATCCTCTTAAACTCTCAACCCAACTGCAGGTTTAAAAAAATCCCTTTATGAATGAAATATTGTTTTTATCTTGCATGATGGGTGCTTTGCATGAGTAAGTGTTGAATACAAACCATGCTGTGCTGCAGAGTCATTTCCACCTGTCCTAATCCTGACGCTGCTGGGCTTTGAACCTGGACTTCATGTGATGTCCTAATCCAGCCAAACATTTTGCTGCCACGAGAGAGCTCGTAATCTGCTGAATGTTTGAGTCACTCTGGCTCAGCCGCTACACATTTGGCATAAAGGAATTAGCAAACCCTAATGGCTAACAGAAATTAATAAAATAAAATCTGGAGAGATTGTGGGATAAAGTTACAAACATGCTCCAGAGAGCAATAACATACAGAGAGGTAACACAACAGCATCTTAAATTATACAGTATGCATTCAGTCATTACAGACAGACCTACTACAACCTCTCAGTGAGCTTTGTTCACCATTCATTGATCTGAAATCCTCTGTCCTCACTTTGCCATTCATAAAAACAACACTGAACTGCATGTGTGTGTTGCTGTAACAGTTTTCTGCACAAAGCAGAGTGTGCTGGTGTAGTAACTCAAGTGGGTCAAGTGCTTTTTTAGGGGAAGTACCACAGAAACACAATCATTGTTGGCTTCTATGTTGGCGAACCAGTAAAACATTTTTATAGTTTGCTTGTGAATTTTTATGCACACATGTAACCCAGAAGGCTACAGATTGCGAGTTGTTTTGTGGGAATACAGCAATCCCACATATTTTAAAATAGCAGTTGCTTAGCTGGGAAAAGTCCCACTCCACTCAGAAAATCTGTTTTTCTTCTTGTTTCTAGATGTGTGAGGGTCACTGTGCTGAGTCATGTATGTAAATCTGACACTAGAAGAATGTTTTTACATTCTGAAAGTGAAAAGTTTCTCTTTGTGCTCATTGGAAAACATTAGAAATTAAGAACATTTTCATATTCATAGATTAGAATTTTTAATGAGGTAGAAGGAGTAGGTGCCTTTTAAGGATTTTAATGTGGAAATGATCCTCTTTTTTTGCAGGAACAGCATAGACACGCATTATCGTTTCAGGCAGACTATTTGTATTATATATTATAATACATAATACAATACATAATACATGTCTGGATAGGATCTTTAAATCATACTGAGTTTTGTTTCTGATGCACAATCACGCTTTATGTCAAATAAATAAGATGCTGCATTAAAAATGTGGCATGAGTATAATAAACTAATTGCATTAAATGCATATGAACCTCATGTTATCACATAATGCAGAGTCCCACTTACATCAGTTTAAGTTCTCCATTGTCTGGATGAGGGTGCACCAGCTCTTTAGACAATAGCTCCTCTCTGAAACCAGGGAAACCTCACCACAGTACTGGTCAAAAGAGTCCTATTGTCCTATCTTCTATTGTGCTGCTGGAGTAGCCTGCAAGCAGAACACTGTCAGCCTTTGTCTTTGTCCCGATCAGCTGTGCAGCCCCCTTTTTTTTTCAAGCTCTGTGGAGTCCCATGTGGCTGCCATGCCCTACATGTCACCATAATAAAGTTAAGGACACTGCTGTTACAGTTGATAATGGATAGACAAATATGTTTCACCAGTTGAACGTTAGGAAATTGGAGAGCTCAGCATATGTGTGGGCCTTGGGGCTTTTCCTTGCCCCTCACAATGATGTCCCTGTGATTTCATTTGCCTGCTGCTGTAAAGGCCTAAAAGGCTTAACGCCAGAGTGTGGGAATAAAGTGTTTATCAGCTCATGGGTAGCTGATTATTTAAATGCATGGTGTGAGTGTATCTGTGAGCTTCATTAACACTTATCATGTTCCATTAGTGGTAGAGGAGGTATTCAGATATAAGTAAAAGTGGTAATACCACCATGTAAAAATGAAGGAAAGGAAAGGTCAGACATTCAAATCTTACAAAGTGAAAGTACATTTCTGTTAAAAGCAAAATATTTAATGGTATGTAGCTACTTTTCACCACTATAACATAATTATTACACCA